TCTATAAATACTCCAATCAAGAAAGTTTTTTGTTCCCTAAGTGTAGAGACCCCACTAATAAGGTCCTTCCAAGTTTCGTGGTTGTTAATTGTCGCAAAGGCTGGAAAGTCTCTCACTGCCGAATGTTCAACAATCATACAAAATTGTTTCCAATCATACAATTCTCATAATAACGACAACAATTATTCAATAATCATTTTCATTTCAATAATCCCAAAACTTATGATAAGTATAAAAAATACTCCACAAGAGATTGCAAACAAAAAAAAAACATAAATAAGGGAATGTGTACCGACGTTTCGACATTTAATTTTGTGCAGAAAACAAGACACGTAAAAACAAAGTCTAGCACATTCACGAAACCCTACCATTCCAACATTAAATATCGATCCACATATCTACTAATTTTAATCTTTGCAAATGTTTAAAAATTTGACATAACGAATGGTAATGGATGGATTCGAATCATTTAATGTTGTTGAGATTGTCGGAAACAACATTTAATAGAAGTAGCCGAAACTACATGATCTCTGCAGCTGTAATATTCTCTGAAAATCTACAGTTTCCATTTATATCAATAATCTAATCTAATTCTATTAAATTGGTTTCCTCTAAGATTCATCGTCCACCAAAATAAGAAAGCAACCACGCGATCTCAACGAGTTGGTACTTGGTATAAAAAAAAGTTGCTAAGAAAATCGGTTTCTTATGTAGTTATGTTACAAAAATTATTTCTTGTAGGAAAATCTATTTCTTATTTTTTTCTTTAATTAATAGTACTTGTGTATCTTTGATTCTTTTGCATTTAAAATTAGGAACCAATATGGAACCGGTTTACATAGATTTTAGATTTTGCAAAGTCGGATAAAAATTGCGACTCGAGATGTTAGATTTTGAGGGTGAAAAAAGTAATTATAGCCCTGCTTATGTAGATTTTGTGAAATTTAATTATCAAAGACGATTATTTATAGAAATGTAGTATTTAACAAGACTTTCTCATATATTACAAAGTATGATATTGCAGTTAAAAATCGATCATCACTCAAACGGACTGAGCTTCCAAGAAAGCATTAAAATTCTTGGTGGCTTCTAGCAACCGTGGTGAGATCGCCGGAGACGTCGGATATGAAACCGGCGATGACGTGGAGAATCGAACGTGACGGAGCGAAGACTCCATTGATCTTCTGTTGTTCGAACCAGATACCTTTAAAACCCCTTTGATCTCTTTCTCAACAGGTTTCTTGTCAAACACGAAAGCCGCAGAAACCGGATCGTCCTGGTCATTTTCACCAGAACCGGATTTGATTAGCTCGGACGGTAAGTCAAAGTGACCCCCACCTTCATCTCCTGTGGAATCCGAAGTGTATGAGCCGCAATCGAATATCTCCATCGAAGCTCGAGCTGAGATCACTGTGGTTGTGGTGGTGGTTTCTCTGACGGAGACAGTTCTTGAAACGGTAACTGACGATGATGATGAGGTCATCGTGGTGGTTCGGGTTAAGGAAGAAGAATCGTCTTTTCGTGATGATCTGACCGGTTTTTCTTTACCGAAACCCGGAAGGTATAGACAAAGGGCATTGCATTTGAATCCGTCTTCTAATGAATGATTATTGTTGATGTTCTTGTTCGATTCGGTTTTGATCAAGAAAGAGTTTTGGGTTCCGCTGCTCTTAGTAGCTTTACAAGAGATGCTTCTTCTGAATGAAGCGGAAGACGAAGATGAGTCTTGCTCCTTGCCTTTGAACGCCCGCATCAGACCCGAAGATGAAGACGAGTCTTGTTCCTTGCCTTTGAGCGCCCGCATCAGACCCGAAGAGGAAGACGAGTCTTGTTCCTTGCCTTTGAGCGCCCGCATCAGACCCGAAGACGAAGACGAAGACGAGTCTTGTTCCTTGCGTCTGAGAGCCCGCATCAGACCCGAAGACGAAGATGAGTCTTGTTCCTTGCTTTTGAGTGCCCGCATCAGACCAGAAGACGAATCTTGTTCCTTGCGTTTGAGCGCCCGCATCAGACCAGAAGACGAAGACGAGTCTTGTTCCTTGCTTCTGAGCGCCCGCAGTAGACCTGAAGACGAAGACGAGTCTTGTTCCCTGCCTTTGAGCGCCCGCATCAAACCCGAGCGTTGTTTAGGAGAAGTAGCGGTTGAGCTTGGGAGGCTACGGCTTGCAGACTTAGTCCGCACTGGCTGCAACGGAAGTGGCATAGGCGAATCTAAGTCTCTAGGCGGTGACATCGCCGGTAACAGAACCATATCGAAGCTATCGTTCCTTTTCAAGGACGGTGATAGAGACAACGACTTGATTGATATCGGGTCCATCGATATCTCTCTCTCCGATTGCATCAAACTCGTTTGCTTCACCAGAATCTTCTTCTTCGGCTCGTCTCTCCCTAGAACTTGCCAATCCCCATGAGTACTCTCGTCTCTGAAACTAACCATTGGCATAAGAACTGCAGCAGCCATTGCCTATTCTCCCCCCTGAAATGTCGATTAATAAGAAAATAAAAATGACAATGGCTAAGTCTTAAGGCTAGAGAGATGGTGGATACTTATACTGTTATACAGAGGAGTAAAGCATTGTCTGCACGTTTGGTGGTTAATGGAGTCTACAGTTAGTCATGATTTGCACGTCCAGCTAATTTTTGTTACCTGCGTATTAGTCTCAGCCAAAGGTTATTGACTTTGTTACTATAAACATAAACAAAGAATAATAAGTTCAATTTAATAACCATTGTTGAAATGAGACCATGCCCAAGATTGAGACAAGATCTGATCAAGATGGATATGCTTGCTCGCACGAACCACACTTATTATAAAATCACCAAAAGGTTTGGAGAAGTTTACCTGACTTTGTGCAGACCACAAGCCGTTGATTAAGGAAGAATATGATTAAATTTTATTTTATTTCATGATCTCCAGTTACAAAAGCATCCATGATGGGTCATTTGGTGGTGGTGGTGTGTGTAAAAACTAAATGATTTTGTAACTCTATTGAAGGGAATTGTAAAACAAGATTAATACAACTGAGATACCGATGATAACTGGAAAAGACGAGACTAAGTACAATGCTCCATAACCCTGCAATAGATTAAGAACAGAGGCAAGAGATATATCAAATCAGATCCCAAGGTTTTGAATATAAAACGCTGCGAATGTTGGACGGATGAGTAATGATTTCAAGGTAAAATGTGGGAACAAACCATGGCTTTGGGTACTACTCCAGTGTCATCATCGACATCGGCTTCTTCAATTGCAGCAGCTGAATCCCAATCTACCTTGAGTCTCTTGGCTGCTTCTTTTGGATCTATTCCAGTGTCTGTAGATTTAGCGTACAACGATTTTCCTCGCTGCTTCTTCGAAACCTCAACCTTATCATATAAATAGGATAAGAGTTAAGTTATTTCCGTGTATATGAACCGTCACCAGAGTTAAACAAACTAAAAGGGAAATCTCCCATCATATTTAGTAGCATTGATAGTAATCACCACCATCAAATAAAAGAAGACTTGAAAGCTCTTGTCAATATGCACATTGCTGCTTGGGATAAAATCCATTACGCTTTTTGTGTTTCTTATATCGATAAATTTAATGCACTTCTGTGTATGATTTCAATGGTTGACATGAAATTGACTCTATATGACTTGTAACAGCTTTATAAGATTATGGCAGTTGTGTCATCATGAGTTTGAATTCTCTAAAGCGAAGGGTGGTACCGTGGTAGTTTTTCTCAATCAATGGGCACATATAGCAAAAACAACGGTGGGATTTAAAGTAGAAGTACCTCTAAATTTGGCCAACGGATCATTTCCTCATACAGCATCTGGAGAGTGAGACGATCTTTAGGTATTTTCCCTTCATTTACCTGTGAGAAGATGGCAACATATTTTTAGGGATCTTCATACTAATCCCAAAGGTCAACTAATTTCTCCACCTTGTAAACTACACAAAGCAAACTGCTTAGCTTGGTCTTGGTCTTGTGAAGTGATATTACTACGGATAACAGGATTTCTATTACAAGCACATATGTCTTGAAACAGTTTTGCATACTAAGCTTAGCTGTTAGATAGGCCAGACATCACATTAAAACCCGAAATGTGACAGATCAAGCATGTTATGTGAAAAGAGATCTCAAGAAAGGTTCGTTGAGCAGGGATTACAAGTAAAACTGCTGGAATTAACTATTCATCTAAATTTGTGTACAAGTACAACAACAAAAATCACACTCCACTCAGACACCACCAAAACAGACTGATTCACAGTAGCATTCTATGAACACTCAAAGAACTAAGCCATATATGAGTTCCCTTTCGCTTTTTTGAGGGGAAAAATGATGTCTCCCATTTCTAACTATTGAACGCATTATTTTAAGGTACATGTTTGGACAGATGCTATTTCACTTGTGGTAAGGTAGACTCAAGATTCAAGAAACAATAATAGCCAGTGCATCTTAAGACTAAATCAAAGGTTACCAGCTCCAAGGCTTCAGCTAAGTCTTCTCTACTCGGAGCATCTGCATCTTCTATTCCAAGTAACCTCCTTTTTTCCAATTCCCTTGGGTCCTCAATCATGATGGTCAACTTAACCTATGATTCCAAAACATACAACAAAACTCTGACTTCACATCTCATTCTAAGCATTAAGTCAAATCAATACTAAAAACCCCAACACATAACCATCACTTGCAGCTTTGCATCAACCAGAAGAGTGATTGTCATGCCCTTACCTCACTAAACATCATGTCTCTGTTCCTCCTGAGTAGCTCCAATACCTAATCACATTCAACATAATAGAATTCTTCAGGACAATTCAACGAACATATACTTCTAATTCCAATTTCAAGTAACACAAACCCGTTTGATCTCGTTGACGTATTTGAGATCCTCAGGATCTACTTCTCCATCTTCTTCATCATCATCTCTAATTTTTTTCTCCTTCTCTTGTTGCTCTAACGTTAACGGAACAGGAACTCGAATCTCCGTCGCGTCTCCTTTCTCCTGCTGAGCTATCACACTGCCGAACCTCCGATTTTTCCTCCGCCTCACCAAACGATCACATCCTCCTTCACCGGAAATTTCACTACATCTGTAAATTACAACCGGAGACGGCGAACAAACACCGTAATTCCTTTTGCCGGAAGATAAACACCGTAACGGTAACGGTAACTGAAACATCTGCGTCGCAGTCGCAGTCGCCGCCATATCTATTCGTATACTCCAAAATACCAAATAAAAGAATTCCTCTATGTAAATTCACTGATTCTGCATCTCTGAAGTTTTATAACTTTCGATCGATTGTAATTCCAAAG